TAAAACTATATACGTTATACAAAAATGCCAAAGGCCAACCAATAGTGAAATCAATCAACCAAATATGCATCCCAACCTACTATTATATGAAAAGACATAACAATTGACAAATAAAATAAGCATAGGCTTATACCAAATAACCACGTGCATTAATCCAATCAATAATTAGTTTGCAAGCAACCATACAAAAGTGTATAATCCATCAGAACAAACTTACATATAGTCAATGTAATTTTATATAAAAAATTACGCAGTGAATAATGTACAAATTCACCACTTACATAAACTTGAGGACTATCAGAATACCAGTCACGACGCATCCTCAAAGTCACTTGAAACCCCTAAAGAATTCATATAAAATCGTCATCAATACAAACATCCTATTAAACATTAACACATATTAAGCCATTCATCTATTTAACTAATTATTATTAGATACGCTAATTATACCAAACACTCAAGTTATATCTATAAAGAAAATATAACTAGCTTATTATCTTGGCTATATGGTAAGCTACTTTGATTTCACCTGTGGGACTGATAAACACGTAAAATATGCATTATCTTAATGTGTTTCAGGTATGATTTACGGATGTTTGATGCATATTTCGTATTTAGATTGAGGATATTGATGTGGTTTATGTTCTTATATGTAGGTATTGGCTCAATATTTGAAAGATTCGATGATCGTTGGAAGGTAAGCAAGAGTTTGAAGCCACAACCAGATTTAGAATGCATGGTTCGAAAAGAAAATGGATGCACGAATATGAAGACTGTCTAAACGAGCACAAATAAGCAAGACATGTTCTGTCACATCCTGGTGTGGTGTGCACCACACCAGTAGACCGGACATGACAATATTTAGAAGACAGATTCTACCACACCCGGGTGTGGCATGCACCATACATGTGTTTCGGTCCTTATTTTTTTTCCAGATTTTTTAGAGACCTATATATTGGTAATTTAGCTTAGGGTTTGGGGGTCTTTTTACTTTCTCTTAGCCGTCAATTAGTATCTAATTTAGAGTTCAAGTATTGAAGGAAGACGAGGGATTTCTTGTACAAGATTGGATTGCAAGTTTTTATTTTGAAGATTTCAATTGAAAGACGAGTTAATTCTTTCATTTCTTTAATTAATTTCTTCTTATGATTGATTTGCATATTTATTTGATGTATTCTCTTATCCCAATCATGTGTGAGTAGGTTCCTTGTCTAGGATCGGGAAGAGAACCAAACTTTTTGGTAATTGATGATGAATTAATGTAGGTTCTTGGTGAAAGTTTAAATCTTTAAACTTAATTTCGTGTGAATTACTTTGTTGATTCGCTTGATCATCAGATTAGCAATCATAGGTAATTAATTGAAGGACCAAAAGGTGAAAATTAATACTGGACCTCTAGAAATTAAACAGGGAATTCGAACCACGAAAGTAGGCTAGATTCCTTGGGGAATTGATTAAGATTAGCATAAAGCTTAATATGTTTAATTTAATATTGATTCCACGAAGGTAGGTTAATTGGGATTAATTAGACACGATCTTTAGACCTTGAAAGAGGCCTTAGATTAATTTAGGCTAATTCATCCTTTCTAGTTTAAATCAACACCGAGAACTAAAATAATTCATCATTAAGCACCAAAGTTGTGGTGAAAACCCAATACTGACCCTTCATTATATTGAATTCCACCCGATTAGCTGTTTATTTTATTTCTATTGTCTAATCTTGCAATTTTAATCCCTTTTATTTTACTCATCGGTTTAGCTAGTCGAAAACGTAAAATTTGATAATTAACCCCTAGTCCCTGTGGGATCGATCTTGATAACTACAACGAGTCCGTGCGCTTGCGGATTTGCCTATCAGGGATGTCTAACAATTGATAGCATCAGGATGTCCTACACTTAGGAAAAGAGAGAAAAACAAAGTTTGGACTTAAAGGTTTTAGGAACACGATGCAATCATTTGATGATATTAGGTCATAAAACAAGCTCTGAAATTAAACATATAATTGAATGGGACCAAGAACCTAAAAACTAAAAACCATTGTGGGTCATTGGATCTATCTCATCCAATGGCTGAGATTAGAGCTTATAATACAGTGAATCCAGATTCAGTTATGACAATAAATGCCATTATTAAAGAGTGCAATAAATTTTACTGTCATTAAAGAGTGCAATAAATGCCATTATTCTTCAAAAAACAAACACCTCACATTTAAAATTTTATAAAAACACCCTTAAAGTTTAGTACTTTACAAATTACTCCTCCAAAGTTTGAATTTTTTAATGATATTTTGCAATTCCTTGATTTCAATGTTATGTTTAATAGTTTTGTATATTTGTAAATTACAAAATATTAGGGTGTTTTTTTACACTTTTTAAAACTTTGAGGGTGTTTCTTTCGTAGTTTTCTAAATTTTTATTGTGTTTTCAATGTAATGCATAGATTCATCAATTAACAAGTATAATAAAGAGTAAGTCGTTTTTAAGATGTAGTAGGTCATAGTTAACTGCACACCACTCTTCCTAAATAGTATAGTTTATATATGCAAATATTTTTAGACAATCTATATAGTGATTGAAAGGATTTTGACTTTAATGCACTATTTTTTATAAATTATATTTAATATGAACCAATTATATAATTTTGACTGTGGTCATTATAATTTTAATATGATTGATTGATTAACTAAATAGGTAGATAGACCATAGATTACTTCTTTTCTCACATGAACTAATATTTGACGCTTACTAATTTAAATTATTATTTTTAAAAATACGTGTGAGATTGTAGTTCTACAAGATAGAATGACTTTAATGCACTAATATTATTCTTTACATTAAAGTAAAATATTAGTGCATTAAAGTCATAATTATTACAACATCTAAATAATTATTACTTTTAAATTATTAGTGCATTAAGTTTATACCTTGTTCAATTAGACCAACATCTAATTTTCACAACACTTCTTGGTATTGAAATCTAAAATACATGTGAGATTCCACCCTCATAAAGTTCATCAATCTTTTTCCTTTTTTTACACTTTTTGTAAAGAATAATATTTTTATGACTTTAATCTAAAAATATTAGTGCAATAAAGTCATAATTATTACAACATCTAAATAATTATTACTTTTAAATTATTAGTGCATTAAGTTTATACCTCGTCCAATTAGACCAACATCTAATTTTCACAACACTTTCATCAATCTTGGTATTGAGATCTAAAATACGTGTGAGATTCTCTTTGACTTTTATACAAATAGTATCTTTTAAATAATAAAAGTATAATTAAAATTTGTGGTCTAAAAAAGATCAAATATACAATATAATTAATTACTTTAAAATAATGTGATCTAATCTAATAAGAAGAAAATAGATTAAAGTGATTTAAAAATTATTAAAATTTCATAATTCATAATTTTTAAACAATCTAATCTAATAATCTAATCTAATAAGAAGAAAATAACAAAGGCACATACTTGTTGAAGGAGATGAAAGTGTTATGAAAATTGTTGTAATTTCTGATATAAAAAATATCAAACATACGATATAATTAATTGCTTTAAAATAATCTAGTCTAATCTAATAAGAAGAAAATAGATGAAAGTGTTGTGAAAATTATTGCTATTTTTTAATATGAAAAAAAGATTAAATACACAATATAATCAATTGCTTTAAAATAATCCAATCAATCTAATAAGAAGAAAATAACAAAGGCATATATCTATAGAATGAGATGAAAGTGATATGAACATTATTGTAATTTCTTGGCTTATATATATTGTCATGTGCTGTTGCATGTGAGAGAATAACAATTGTAAATAGAGTTCTATTTAAATAATAACGGTATAATTAAACTTTACAACTCATTATGCACTACCGTGAACTACTTAAAGTTTAATCGGTGAGAGATTGTCATGTTGTGTCCTTAGATCGCAACCATTTATTTTAATTTTTCTTTTTTGTAATTTTGAGAACGCTCTTGCCTCTTTAATTTGTTTAGTGGATTTTGCAAATATCTCATCCATATTATGTACATTTATAGATCTGCGCTGTTTCTAGGTTCGACCTTTGGGGCAGACGTATTTTGTCTCGTTGATTTGTTTGGTTTTTGCATATACGCCATTCATCTTGTATACATTTGTAAAGTTTGCATTTAATAATTTCATTCATGTTTACATTTCAATTTAAACTATATCCCTATCTTCATACTATGTATCCAATAAGAATTCATCAGATTTATCAACTTACTCTTACTTAATGAATTAGTATTTGAATTATTTTAAGGGTATTTTTGTCTACCGAAAGATTTTTCCGAACTCGTGCTTTTAAAAAGAGTATGATATGATTTATTACTAGTTCGTATGTCACATTGAACAATTAATCTAGAGTTTTAGGAAAAATTTAAGCAGTGTAAATAAGATTTAACAACTGGTTAAGAGTAAGCACAATCTAAAGTTCAGAGCTTATTTGTTTTAGTTTTTTTTTTTTTTTGGTTCTTTTATCCTCAGGATGTCTATTAGTCAGAAAACAATTCCTGAGAGTAGAAGGTCGGAAAAAATTCATGCTGGAAGGGGGATTTCTGCCGCAATAGAACTACAGAGGGTCTATCCACGGTTAACCCTTTTAATGTATTACCCATTACTGCTCAGGGGCGTACCCTGATCATTCTCACTCAACATATACATGATTATTCCGTATATTGCTATCATCACTGCATTCTATTGCATTGATTACCTATGTGATGGCTTTTGTGCGCTCGTGATTTTATATTGCATGACATTACCTAATGAAATTGATGGCAAAAATTGATTAAGTTCAGTAAACTTGGACAGCGTCTCAAGAATCTTTTAGCAGGTTAACAGGATAAAACATATTTGTGAACGTGTGTGGGCTTGTGGATATGGTGGGATGTGGGCTTCATTGTAATAACTAATGGGCTTTTGGATTAGGCCAGTTTCGGAACAATTTCAAATAATTTAATACAGCATGCGGATAATCTTAGAGGCCCAGCCCGACGCGTTCCGTGCTCCTGCTCTCTTTCTGTTCCAAGCTCTACAGCCATCATCTCTCCCCCCCTCCTCCTCCTCCGCCGCCGCCGCCGCCCCCGCCCGTTCAGGTAACCTAAACTCTCTCTATAGAGATCTCTTAAGCCCTAGAAAGTGTTGCATATACACAATAGCTAGGGTTTCAAGTTTTTGTATCATTCATTTACTATCTCGTTTCTTGTGTGCAATTTGGGGGAACGATTTCTCGTTATCCGATCAGATACTGAGATTTAAGCTCATGATTCGTTAAAAGAGAGAATTTTGAATCAGTAGAAGGCATAAAGACTCAGCATTCACCCATTTTCTTCTTTTCGGATAAAATTTGGTAATTGCAAAAAATTTGACTGTGACAATGTCTGTAACTGAGAACTTCTTGCGTTTTCCTTTTTTTTTAAAGACTTTACTGACTAATTTCTAAGCTTTAGAAAAGATAAAGACCAACCTTCTCTAAAAGATTCAATTTTTTTAGCTGGAAAAAATTTGAATCAGTTTTTTTTTTAATTTACAATGCGTAGTTGCAAGTTTTGGCGTGACAATGCAGTGTTTTGATCTTTGATTTGGGGTAAATTTCTTGTTATTGTGATTTTAAGTTGAGGAGCGCACTTTTTTAACTTAGGCTCTGGATATTTGAGTGGGATGTTAACTGAATTATGGAATTTGATGTATGTCCTCTTATAACCTTGCGCAATTTTCTTAAGTTTTTATTTTTAGCACAATTTTTCTGAAGAGGCCTGAAAATTAATTATGTACATTATTTTTGATATTTACAAAATAGCATCGGTTGTGTGGGAGGATGAAGAACATAATTTTCCTCATTGAGGGAGTGGAGTTGGAGTTTTGTGAAATAAAATTGTTTCGTGAACAAGCAATTTGGAAACCAACTGAAAAATAAATTATGCGTCAACTACAAATGATGGTTGATTACATTGGAGTATTGAACTCAGAGATGCGAAGCCCTGAAGGATTGATTTTTTAGAGTTGGAATTATGGATAGGTTTGGTAGAATTTTGATCAAAACAGTGATAGGGATGGGAAAGCTAGGGGGAAAATAATAACTTGATGGAGGCACACTTCTCTTTAAAATTTTCACGTCTTTGAAAAATTCTCTTTCTCCAGTGTATGATCATTTGCATTTAGTACGTAAAGTAGAGACCACAGAGATATTCGTAGATAGACTCATTTAAGTACATAACCAAATAGACCAGTAGCAAGTAGCAACTTTTATTAGGTTTTCCAATTTAACAAAATAGATTGGCTCCTCATTGAGCGTGATGGATATTGATTATGTAGCTGGCTAAAAGATTTGGGATAAGCATTCTATTGTTGTCATTCTTTGTATTAATCCTGATTTAGACAAACTTATTTGTCCCTCTAGAAAGTGTGTAATCTACTAAATTACAAATTAACTGAACTTATGAACATAAGCTTGAACATTATGCAAGTTCTAAAACTAGCACTTAAAGTTATAAGGATTAAGGAGTTTGAAACATGAAGTCAGTTGCCAGCGAGGGTTTTCCTTAGAGTTACTTAAATCACTATTCATTTGTTATCACTATTTTTTTGACTAGTTTGGTATGGTGGTTGTTTTATTTGATTTCCTGAAATCTGATCGCTTCATTTGCCCTATGATTTAGTAGAGGCATTGGCATGGCTAATTTAAACCTGTGCAAAAATTAATCGTCAGGTATCAAAAACTTAATGATGAATGTTCTTAAATAAATCGTGAGCATGTCGATTAGTCTTATGATGGGACTGTAGTTTGATTTTTATGAATTGTCTTGCTTGTGATGATACAGCTGTGGAGAAAGCTTGATTTTGTGGTTAACTGCAGCAGTTTGGCTGTATATAAATGCGAAATCTGTTAAAATTTTCAGGATTAATACTTCAATTTCATTTGTATTAACACGTGAGCTAATATACTCTTTTGTTGAAATTAGATTTAAATAGTGTAAGCTGGAAATCTAAGGCCTTTCTGGTTCTGTGATCAGAGCTCATCATTAGTCTGAGCTCTACCCTTATCAAATTACAGTACAAATGAAAGATTGGACAACGTATTTGTTTCGGTTTTTATAGCGCTCAGAGCAGCAATGTGCAAGGGTCTTTGCAAGTTCTTGTGAACTCATTGTGAAGGCGAAACATTAGCTGAGGCTGATTCCAGACTTGGAAATGCTATAAAAGAAAAACTAGTAATCCTTGGCGAAACATTAGTTGTGGCTGATTCCAGATTTGCTCACAAATCAATACACTATACAGTTGTTAGATGGCTGAGTCTTGGTGCATGGCTAGATAGGCTGAAATGAGACCAGACAATTTATTAGTACTGATTATACTACGTGTTTTAACTTTTTTTTAAACATATGACTTACAAATGTATTGCAATCTATTAGTACTATGATAACATCTTTTGTGTTGGGAAGCAAAGTTAGTTGAAGCTGTTTATGAACTTAAATCAAGCAACGGTAATGCAAAGTTTGTGTCAATGTGATTTGTATCATGTTCTCGTGTGATATATTGTTGTACTTATTAGTATTTTATCACAAACCTAGCACCAGGTCATGAGTAGCGATTGTTGGTTTTAGTTCTCGAAGTTTGGATTAAACTCTACATTTTTGTTCCTTACTGTATATATATGTTACACAGAGCCTAATATATTATGTATTACATCATCTGTATATTAGAATTCTTCTGACTCATTTATTGAATAAGAATTCTATTTCTAGTTTCTAATTCTCGAAGGATTCTATTTGGAAAAAAAACTCCTAGAAATATTGCACAAAAAACCCTTAAAAGGTTGTAAAACCCCCCTAAAAAGTTTGCAAAGAGCCCCCAAAAAGTTTGCAAACTCCTAGTATTAATAAGTGTCAGACCCTCAGCAAAAGACTGGCTTAAGGTGCTATAGTGTTATAGGTGAGTCCATGCTCTTTGTGATTGCACTTGAAAGAACTTTTCTGGAAAGATCAATCTCGCATTACATGGCTGGAGATGCCAATACAAGATTATTCCTTCCACCGTACCACTATAATTAGGAGATCAAAGAAGATGATATCTATTATAAAGAAGGCCAAGGGGGTAATGCCATCCAATGAAGCTTAGCGATAAACCAAAGCAATATTTTCTTTCCATGACTTAAATAGGAAGAATTAGCTTTCATCGGGGTTCCTTTTACGGGTAAGACCCCCTTCTTTTGCTCAGCAGCAGCCGTGCGCGTGTGGACTGCCCCAATCTCACGGGTCATTGTCTTTCTTTCCATCCGTCTTGCCCATCTCTGTCTTCAAACATAGGCCTATATCTTGGTCCGAATGGGACCAGTTCACCAAAAGCTTACTTAGTATGATCATTATAGGATTCCCCTGGATCGTCAACTAGAACCGGTTCACGCCCATCTACTGCTGAAGTAGTCCATAAAAAAAGATTGCTCAATGCTGTCACGACTGGTACATTCCACCCCCTTGGCCTTCTTTATAATAGATATCATCTTCTTTGATCTCCTAATTATAGTGGTACGGTGGAAGGAATAATCTTGTATTGGCATCTATAGCCATGTAATACCCCAAAAAGTTTGCAAAAAGCCCCCAAAATTTTGTGAAAAGTCTCCAATAGTTTGCAAAAAACCCTCTAAAAATTTACAAAAGACACCCCAAAAGTATTATATACATAGCTACTATAGTTAAATGGGCAAATGGGTGGCCTGTTTATTAAATGGGCGAGCAAAAATCCGCCCATTTAGAAAATATTAAATGGGCCATATTTACCATAAATGGGTAAATGGGCAAAACATGCCCACCCATTTATGGCCCGCCCATTTAATACCCAAACCCACCCATTTAACACCCCTAAATGTGACTGTCGTGACGTGCATAACTGAGGATTTCTTCACATTTTTCTATTTTTTGTAACTTCAAGAAGCTAATATCATTCTCTTTGAGGTGGTGGTATTGGAACCTAGCTTTTAAAAATTTCTACCAATGCATGAATACTTAATTTCTTCTTAAATCGTATATGCAGTGTAGAAAACATTGTTTAATTGTATAGTCTGCTGACTAGAGAATCGATATAAAGGCAGCAGACTGGATAATATTAGGGTCCTTTCTACAATAATTAACTCCTGAAATTAGGTTTTCCTTTAGACACTTTGTGATTATGCCTATTAGGCGAAGTGGTATGGGTTGAGGATCAAAAGATCTGATGTGATTTTGGAGGTAAGTAAGATGTTTTGTTTAATAATAAAATATCATAAAAGATAGCTGGGTCCCCTTGTGAGGGTATTTTAGGAATTTAACATATTATCTAAAGGAATATGGATGAACATTATGTCTTGGTGGTTAATGGTGCATATTATCATGGTTGCTTTATGGAAACTGAAACTTTCATGGTGGTTCCCAAAAGACCCCTATATTTTATGGTCTCGTATAAAAAGCCTTACATAATTTCATATGGTTATTGGGATACTATAATGTACTGTATTGAAATGTTACAAGAAGCCTTATATGTGCATGAGAAAGGTATTACTTCGTATATAATGCCAAAATTCTATTTCTGTTCAAGCTGATAAGACGTAATTTATTTATCAAATAAGAATGTCTAAGACAACTATCATGGTCTCTAAAGATTAAGCCAAACAGTACAGTAACAGTTCAGCCTGGAAGGCACTTTCAACTTATCCTGGTGTCCAAAAAAATTGAATTATGTTTATGTATATATTTCTATTCTTTATTTTCCTTTCGCATGTACAAAATTAGACTATTAGAGGACATGGTGACCAAACTGTGATACTCGATGCGGTTTAGAATATGGTTTGAAGTTTGTGTGAAACTGATACTCCTTAACATGGCAGCTTTGTAATGATTTGTCAAAAACAATATGTGGTCATCATGTAGAAAATCATTAAAACAGAGTTTAGAAGGAATTTGATCATAATTATTAGGCATTAAGGAGAAGATGGGAAGCTTGTGCATGGACCTTGTTTCTTTTTTCCTTGATGTGACTGGCCAACGTCTTTTTCTCTGTAAGATTTTGAGAGTCTACCAGGAGTTGAATTGATGTGATACATTTAACAAGGTGATGATATCTTCTTTTAGTAAAAGTGGATAGGTCTTGATCTTACTTGAATTTGGCTGAGCAAAGACTAATGTAAGTTGTTTACTGTGTTTGATATGCGTTTTGCTTAATCTTACTTGAATTTGGCTGAGCAAAGACTAATGTAAGTTGTTTACTGTGTTTGATATGCGTTTTGCTTACTTTCTTGAGATGAAAGAACTACCCGGCTTTAAGGGAAGGGTTGAGGGATTGGAGAAAAGATGGGGGAGAATTAATTACAATTATTTATGACCTTATTCACTATATACCATTCATTTTCAAAAACGAAAAAATTGAATTTTAGAACTCTAAACTCAAACAGGGAGAGACAATGCTTGCTGAAACCAACAAAAAGAAAGCCATAGTGAATGAGTTAACGCTAAATGTGAAGCAGACCTTGCAATTAAGGAGTGTCTGTTATTCATGCTGTGAATTATAAAATATTTTCTATGAACTGACTGATACTTAGTCCTGCTTTAGTTTTCTATTGGATCCAAATGGAGCTATGTTATGGCTTTATTAAGTGTCAAATCTTAGTCTCTTATTTGCTAACTTTTGGACTCTTGATTTCCCAGCAATATAGCAGCAACAAAAGGTCAAAATAGATGCCTTCACTGCAAACTTCGTTACCGCCTGAGCTTGCAGACAATGTGATAAGAGTAAAGACATTATTTCAGTCATTGATGCTTTGATCTGACATTCATAATATATTATTTATGGCATACTATATAGCTGGTACTTATTCATGTTTTTCTCTATTGTAGTTGTACCGCGAGTGCTTGCGAAGAGCCAAATATATAGGCCAAAAGGTATTCTTTATGCTTTGGCTAATTGCTTGAACTTTCAGGATTTTATTCTTACTCTTACCTCCATAGAAAGCGCATATCTAGGAGTATGCATTTTATATCTAAGGCATTAGCCCAAGATATCATACTCCCTTTAAAAGCACGAGTTCGGGAAAATCTTTCTATGGTCAGTATTACCCTTAGTTTTTTTTAATATTACATTGTTATCCTAATATATTCTAATTTTAATCATATCTTATCTAATTCCAAGTGAACTATCTATAGGTCAACAATTTTAAAAAAAAAGTTATTTTGAATATTTCACTTAAGTCTTAATCTATCCAAATACTAATTATATCATATATTAACTCCATATGAACTACCTATAGCTCAAAAATATAGAAAAAAATAAGATTAAGAAATTATACGTAGATAACATATTATAATACATGAAGTATTATAAAAAACCCAAAAGTTTCAAAAATTACATATAATAGCCTTAAAAGTTTAAAATTACACAAAACACATTGACTTTTTAAAACTTAAAAACAAACATGATATCTAAAAATTTAAAATATGTAATTAACACCCTCAACATTTTAAAAATTGTAGAAACAACCTCAAAAGTTTAAAGACTAAATTACATTTATATACTCTACATGTTTTGCTCTTGAAGCAGTTATATACCCTAAGTTACAAAATATAGAAAAAATACCCTGAGTTGGTAAAAATTTGCAAGTTGGTATCTTTTATTAACCAGCTGTGAGAATATTCTCTAGAATATTCCCACGTGTTGGATCTATAACCAACTTGAATACTTCTTATCCTCATTTATTGTATTATTTACTGTATTACCTACCTTCCCCACCCTTCCCCCCACCCCCGCAAATTAGATTATTTTCATCATCATCATCTTTTTTCGTGGCCTCCAACTTCTTCTTCCTCTTTAATATGGATAACAGTAGAAAATAAGAGCTTTCACTATGTTGGGGGGTTAATTCCTAAGGAGGGGTATTATTATCCTTTCATGTATTTTTTAACACCGTTAGCTAAATTTAAATAGTTACCAGCTCAGGGTATTTTTTTGCTATGTTTTGTAACTTATGGTATATAACTACTACAAGAACAAAATAATAGGATATATAAGTGCCATTTAGCCATGTTTAAATTACTAAAAAACATTCTAAAATTCAGAGATTTCAGAACTTAGAAACAACATAGATGAATTCTAGGGATTACCAGTAGGCACATAGAAATTTAAAATTAGTAAAAGAATAACCTCAAAGTTACAAAAATTACAAAACCTCTCTCAAAAGTAAAAAATTATTAAAAAATTCTAAAATTTTAAAACTTATAACCGGTACACATCAAATTTAGAAATTATCAGCAGATTGCTAAAAATTTAAAATTTTTAAAAAACAACCCAAAATTTTAGTAATTATAAAAATACCTTCAAATTTTTAGACTTACGAGAAATATTCTAACATTTAAAAACTTATCACAAATACGTGAAATATGAAAATTATAAGTACCCAACTTAAAATTTAAATTATTATAAAATACTATCAAAGTTTAAAAATTACAAAGCACACCCTCAAAAGTTCAAATCACAAAAAGACTGAAATTTGGCAAAGAAAAGAGGAAATGTTTGATATTATAACATTAAGATATAATATGTTAGCATTAATTGATTATAATGTATAAACATTTATCTCTAATGTTGATAATATTTATTTATAAAGTAAAAAAAATACAAGGAGTTATGTATGGAGAAACTATCAGAAAGTTTAGAGATGTCCTTTAAAAGAACTAAGTTGTTTTTATTTCAAATGGAGAAGTGAAGGAAATAAACTCAAAATTCAGAAACATTCATGAATCACCTGAATTGACATTGATAAAAAGCATATCGAGCAAAGAAGTACTAACCAAGTTCTCCTTGAAGAACATATTGAACAATTTTGTCCTAATTAAAACACATTATTCATGAAAAGTACAAAAAAATTAGTAAGTACTTATAAATTTTCATACTTTATTCTAAAAATATTGAAGGAATCATAAACTTAATATATAATTTCATATAAATAATCTTGCAATAGAAACTAAAGTGAAGCCATTGATCAACTACATTGCGAGATATAATAAACTAGATAAGATGAGAAAAATCACTATAATGGATAAAAAATATGCACATGATACTTAGTTACCATAGTGTAAGTAAAAAAAATTAAAATTGATATTTTTCTTTTCTCTATATAGTGGCACGACTTTGGAAGTATCCTTATTTGGGGATATGACTGCCAACGAAAGATCAATTTTTAAGAACACGGTCAAAGATAAGCATGTAATAGTACTGTTAGATTTCAAGATATTTAAATATGAAGGTAACATATTTTACAACTAAAATTCTTATTAAAGGTCACTAAATATAAAATTCATCTTATACCTGTCTCAAATTTGTATGAAAGATATGCATGTCATCGTAAATTGTGTTAATAATATATCAACTTATTGAAGAAATAAGAGAGAGATAAGCAAACCAAGCAAACATCCATATAACACGATAAAAAAAAATATTACACTTTAAAGCAAATATGCAGGGCTCATTCAGAACAAGCTGCTAAAACAAAAGCATCTCCATCAAGGCTCTTTATAAATATAACATAAATTTAAATTATTTAATATTTTTAAAAATAACTTAATTTTTTTAGTAAAACCAAGAATCTTTAAAAGTGATTTTCATGAACTCTTTTAATTTTTTATATGGTTATGTGGATGCTTTTATCATATAAAAGTGTACTAGAGTTAGCATTAATATTTATTTTATAATTTTTTCTAAAGTCTATCAGTGATTAGCAACAAAATTTATACTCTCTTTAGTTTCATTCTAGCCCATTTTTAATTAATCATCTTGTCTTATTGGCTTTAATTATTCATCCTTCTTTTATAACATTATCTTTTCAAGTTTTTTTCACTTTGACAACATTATACCTTCTTAAGTCAAGCTTGGTTTCATGCCGATCTAAATAACGCGAAAATTCAAATTAGCTTTAGATTATAGTTATTTCTTATCAATTCAATTATTACTTAAAAATTTTAAATTTGGTGTAGCCCGTTCAAACAAACATTAAAATAAATAAATAATCACAATAGTAAAGTTTGAAAACATAAGTGAGAAAAACAATCAAAGTGGAACTGAGAAACAAATTTTAGTAAAGAAATAAGTCAAAAATACTTAATCATAATAAAATCCTAGTCTGAATAAAAATGCAAGCAATCATGTAAATTGTTCAATACCATTTATAACTATTAAAGGACACATGATCAAACTGTTCAAAATCATTTAAATATATATGTTTGTTCAATCGCATCTATGTGGACTATAGTCCATGATTTTGGTTGTTTTTTTACCAAACCACAAATTGGCGTCGGCCGTCCAACATACAGCATTTTATGCATACTTTGAAATTTGTGAATTCTATGGATTATAAACCATGATTTTGTTATTTGGCCAAATAAAAAATTATCGTCTCGTATAGAATATTTATCATTCTATGAAATTCTTGAATTTCTGTAGGCTATATAACCAATCATTTTGGCCATATTGCATGAAATCACAAGTTGCGCTTTAGCCTAGAATATTATTTGCATACTCTGGAATTCCTGATAATTTATGACAAAGCACCAAATCACAAGTTGACATCCCACGTAAAATATTTTATATGTACTCCTAAAATCTGAATATTTAGATTTTTGCTGATTTCAACTAAATCACAAACGGCCGTCTGACATAGAATATATTATGCATACTCTAAAGTTCTTGAATATATGTGGACTATAACTCATGAGTCATGAGTGTGAATGTTTTTGAAAAAAATAGAAATTGCTAATCCAAATGGAACACTTTATGCGTAATCTATTGTTTTCAAGTTTATGTGAACTATAACCCATGATTTTTTTCATTTCGATCAAATCATAAGTTGTCGTCCTGTGTAAAATATTTTTTGCATACTCAAGAACTCTCGAATTTTTGTGAACTATAACCCATGATTTTGACCTTTTTTGTGAAAATCATAAATTTTCGTCCCACATAGAATATTTTATGCATACTCTAAAATTCCCAAAATTTTGTGGCCTGTAACCCATAATTTCACTTTTTCAACGGAATCACAAACTCTCTTCCTACATAAAATATTTTATACATACTCTAAAGTTTCGTAATCTCCATGCGCTATAACATATGGTTTTGGTCATTTGCCATCCTGAATAGAATATATTATGTGTACTAAAAAATTCTTTCATTTTCGTGGACTATAACTCAAATTGTTGTCATTTTCCATCAAATTATCAAATTACTTATAATAATCCATTAGAAAATATTTTATGCATATTCCGGAGTTTCGCAATTTCAGACTATAACGGTATAACCCATGATCTTGACCGTTTTGATACCAAATTACATGTCATCCATAGAATATTTTATGAGTACTAAAAATTCCCGAATTTTTGTGGACTATAATCCCTTATCTTGGCCATTTTCGACCAAATTACAAGTTATCATCTTGCATAAAATATTTTCTTACTTTGAAATTCCTGAATTTCTGTGGACTATAACCTATGATGTTGGTCGTATTTGAATTATCATCCCGCAAAGAATATTTTATCCTTACTCGCAGATTACCTAATTTCTATGGGTTATAATACATGATTTAGCTGATTTCTACCAAATCACAAGTTGCCGTCTTGCATAAAATATTTTATGCCTAATTCAAAATTTCTGAGTTTGTATGAACTGTTACCCATGATTCGCCCTTTTTCAACTAATCACAAATTGTCGTCTTGCATAGAATATTTTATGCATTCCAAAATTCTTGAAATTCGTTGGACTGTAACTAATGATTTTTGCCATCTTTGACGAAATCAAAAGTTGCCTTTCCGCATAAAATATTTATTGAATACTTCAAAATTCTTAAATTGGGCATAAATTATGATTGTGGACGTTATCCACCAAATCACAAATTGCCCTC